AGAGGAAGAGGAGGAGGGAGGATGCCCCAGAACAGTTCCAAGGTTTCCAGCACAGTGTGAAACTGCAGACACGATCAACTTAAATATAAAGAAAAGAGGTGTGCCTTTTAAATTAACCAGCTAATGGGAACACACACTCTATGTTTAAACTGGCCTGTTTTGCTTAGAGCAGCTCTTAAATCCCAGACACTGACATTAATCTCATCACAAAGGGTATTGCCATGTCCCCAGGTCTCTTGAAGTCCTTATGTGTACTAGTGAATTCAGGCAACATTTTTTTCTTTACAACTCCCCAAGTGTTCAGCTCCTAAGACTTAAGGAAGCTGGTTTCAGGTACCATCAGTTCTCCTTTCAATTCACGAAATGTAATACCACTATAAATGTTCAAGTTCCCTGAAAAAACTTCCCTTAAAAATGTATGTCTTGCCGGGCTCGGTGGCTCAGCCTGTAATCCCGCGCCTTTGGGAGGCTGAGGTGAGTGGATTGCCTGAGCCCGCGGGTTCGAGACCCGCCTGGGCAGCGAGACCTCATCTCTACAATAAATCAAAAAATCAGCCAGGTGTGGTAGCACATGCCTGTAATTCTGGCTACTTGGAAGGCTGAGGCGGAAGGATCGCCGGAGCCCAGCAGGTCGAGGCTGCGGTGGCCGGGAGCGGCCACTGCACTCCAGTCTGGGTGACAGAGTGAGACTCCAACTCAAAAAAAAAAAAAATTTATATCTTTTCCCTATGGCATTCTAATGTCATACTTGCTCCTTTCAATGTTGCAATTGTTGTTTTAAATCAATAAAATTGAACCAACTTTGAGCCATACTGCCCGAGTACTGGTTTTAGTTAAAACATACACATTTTACTCAAGGTTTTCTTTGGACCTGAACAAGTTTTAGCAGTTAGTAGATTATATATGGTCAAACCTACTCCTGCATATCAAACTGAATATTTATTTATTTATTTTAGAGTTGGAGACTCACTCCATCGCCCAGGCGGGAGTGCAGTGGCACATATGCTCACAGCCACTCCAGCATCGACCTGCTGGGCTCGGGAGATCCTTCCTCCTCAGCCTTCCAAGTAGCCAGAACTACATGCTACCACGCCTGGCTAATTTTTTTTTTACTTATTTATTGTAGAGATGAGGTCTCGCCAAGTTGCCCAGGCTGTTCTCAAACCCGTGGGCTCAGGTAATCGCCTCATTTCAGTCTCCCAAAGTTCTGGGAGCCACCGCACCCGTTCTCAAACTGAATATTTATAAAAGTTTGTTTCTGTATCATAGCTCACAAGCCTTCAAAAATAAATATGCTAACTTTTACTCTGAGTTATACAAATGTTTAGAATTATCATTTATAAAACACAATATTACAAGTAAAACTTGGAAGAAAGAGAAAATATAGAAAGCAACATGTTCATTTCTGTACTTTTAATTCTATGAGTAAAAATGATAGGTGCTGAAGGTGCAAAGTTGACTAATATATTGCCCTGGCCCCTAACAGCTCAGTCTAGTTGGCAGAACTATGTCCCAGACAATTAAAAAATAGTAAATCAAGTACTACTCATGGCTATACCACAGATCCCCTACGGTATATGACCTACAGAAGGTGACTAATAAATTATTAGCTTGTTCATTGGATGAAGAGATGGACAGAAGAATGGATGAATGGGGATACGAGGAGTACTTTTCAGAAAGAGAGAGGAAGGTGAGTTTAACAGGCTTGGGTAGGGAGGGAGGGGATGGGTGCTAAGGAACGACCTCTCAGAGGAAGGGTGGGGCTTGGCACAGTGGTTCAAGTCTGTAATCCCAGCACTTTGGGAGGCTAAGGCAGAAGTCCAGACTAGCCTAGGAAACATAGTGAGACCTCATCTCTACAAAAAAATTTAAAAATTAGCCGGGTGTGGTGGTACAGAACTGTAGCCCCAGCAACTCAGGAGGTTGAGGCAGGAGGATCACCTGAGTCCAGGAAGTCGAGACTGTTGTGAGCTGTAACTGTGCTAACTACACTCCAGGCTGACTGACAGAGTGAGACCCGACTCAAAAAAAGGGGGGGGGGGGTCCAAACTTTGTCTCAAAGTAGTGTTTCCACTGTGGTGAGACATGCTCGGGATAAAAAGAACTCAGACAAATGTACTGAATGGTTATTAATAATTTCAGAGCTATTTTTGCTCACGATGAGGAAAAATATTTCATTTTTAAGGTGACTCCATGACACAAAAATCATATATAATTAGAGCAGGTGGCATGTGGATATACTAAAGAATGAGACACGTGTACACAAATGGCTGAAATTATAGAAAGGCAATTCAAAATCAGGACAAGCAGGTAAAAGGAGATGAGAATAATTCTGGAGTTATTCTAGGCAGAGTAGAAGGGCTTAAGCCCAAGCAATGGGGCAAGAACCACAGATACAGAGTTCAAACAGGTGAATGTTGCTGTAATAGAAGTTCAAGGCAAATAGTGGAAGAAGCTGAGAAGTGTCGATCACAGAGCACTAGGTGCCAGATTAAACAGCACAAACTTACTCTGTAGGTGACAGAGGCCCACAAAAGGGATCCCTTACATGGGTGACTGGTGGACAGACCTTGAGGATGGGAACCATAACAAAGACAGGAGATAGGTAAAAAGTGACCTAGGTTTTGGTGAGAGTAACAGTCAAGAAATATTAAGGTGTTAACAAAGACCAGCAGGCTTTGGTGATTGACTGGACATGAATGCTTGAGATGGAGAATGTAATGGTTGCAGGGGTCCTCAAACTTTTAAAACAGGGGGCCAGTTCACTGTCCCTGAGACCGTTGGAGGGGCAGATTATAGTTTTTTTAAAAAGGCGCCCCCTATCTGCAAAAAAAAAAAAAAAATAGACCTAACTTCAGGGAAAAAAAAGGTCCCACTTAACCCCCCCCCAAAAA